AGATAATATACTTCTATATTTAGAATATCATTTATGGTGGAATAAATTCTTGCAAAAATGGTGGTTGAAGTTGAAGAAGATGAGAAATGCATGAAATCCCGTCATTTCATTCTCGACATTTTATAAATGTCGATAATGATATTATAAATATCATTCACGACATTTATAAACGTCGAGAATGATATTTATACTATCATTCTCGACACTGTCAAATGTTGATAATAACATTAAAAACTTGAGTAAGTTGGGAAAATTTCGTGTATAGCGATTCACATATTGTATGCAGGTAGCATTTTAGTTTTCGATTTTCGTTAGTGGTTGACAGCATTGTTGCTTATGACATGCAGATATGGGAGATGTTAAGAGATTTGTTGTCTCGTATAGTGGTAGATTCGTCAACATAGACGACGGGTGGAAGTGGTTAGGAAACCGAACAACATCAATTGTTGTTCGACATGATATTACATATGAAGAGCTTGTACATAAATTATTCGAGAAGCTAAATGTTGATAGAATGAAGTTTCGAATTCAATTGAAATTTACAGTTCCGAACATGAATATACCCCCTGCTGATGTAGCCGACGATGAGGATTTGCAATGGTTTATATCTGTTCACACAGAAGCGGTGTTGTGTGTAATTACAGATGAATATAATGCTGGAGAGCACGAACTACATGTTAGAGTTGAGCCTTTGTCACCAATAGAAGATGCATTGTGTGGACGCAATGAAGTCGATATGTGCGAACTACAAGAGCCACAAACGATTGATAATATGGATGAAAGTTTAGGTTAAGGCAATTTGTTTATTCGAAATGCAATTGAGTCGATTGATGAAGAGGACATTGTGGAAAATCAGATATTCTTTAGCAAACAACAGTTACACACAAGGCTTTAACTTAAGACTTTGAAAGAGAAGTTTCATTTCAAGGTTAAAAAGTCGAATCCTAGATCTTTTACTGCGTGTTGTGTCGATACTACTTGCCATTGGCTAGTACGAGCTTCTAAGATAAAAACTTCAGAAACATTTACGATTTGAGAGTACATACCTGAACACACATATTCTCTAGACGTTCGACGAAATGCACAAATTCACGCAACGAGTGCAGTAATTGGGCATCACATAATGCGAAGGTTGGACGATGCAAACCAATCATACGTTCCTGCGGGTATTATTGGAGATATGGAACGCGAGTTTGGTGTACGGATTACCTACAACAAAGCGTGGAGGGCTAAAGAGAAGGGACTTCCATTTCTTCGTAGTACACTCGAAGAAAGTTTCCAGAAATTGTCATCATATTGTCACATGTTAACCGAGAAAATTCCAGGAACTATTGCACACATTGAACTCGACTCGAATAATAGGTTCTTGTACTTCTTCTTAGCGTTCGGGCCTAGTGTACGTGGTTTTCGAGAATACATGAGGCTAGTAATTTGTGTTGATGGAAGTAGGGCCAATATAAGGGAACACTACTAGTAGATGCAGCGCAAAATGCTAACCTACAAATATATTCTCTTGCGTGGAGTGTTGTCAATGGGGAAACAAATGCATCGTGGTATTGGTTCTTTGCAAAGCTGAAAGATGTCGTTGATGATTCAAACCAGCTAGTGTTTGTGTCGGACAGGAAGAAGAGTATTAAGCGGGCAATTACGAGGTTGTTCCCACTTTCTCACCACGGTGCTTGCATCTGGCATATCGAGAAAAATCTTATTGCTAGGTATAGCAGTAGCAATGTCATCTTCTTATTCAAGCGAGCAGCGGTAGCGTACCACGTATCGGAATTTGATCAGTTTATGACACAAATAAGAACGATTCGACCGTCAATGGCATCTTACTTGGAACGTATCGGCATATCCACCTGGTCACGGGCACATTTGTTGGTAATCGGTACAACGTTATGACGAATAACATTGCGGAGTCACTGAATTCAGTCCTAAGGCGACAAAGAAGTTTCCCTATAACCTCATTGATCGAAAATATTACGTCATTGATGCAACGATGATTCTACGAGAGAAAAAGTGCATCCACGAAATGTAGTATGACTGTGACACCAAAAATTGATGATGAATTGGGAAAATCATTCGACGCTGCTGCAACTTTACCAGTACGAAATTTGGACAACTCGTTTTTGAGGTAGGTATAACTACCAAACTTTGTACTGTCGACCTTATAGGTAGCACATGTTCATGTCGAGAGTTTCAGATGCGACAAATTCCACGTTCACATGCATCCTGAACTGCTTGCGCAAAAGAAAAATCATTGTATGATTTGTGCTCCCCTTACTACACCACAGAATATTGGCGAGTTGCGTACAACGAAGTTCTTCACCCCGTTGGCTGTGAGTCAGATTGGGTTGTTCCTCAGTCTATTCATTCCGTCGAAGTTTTGCCCCCGAATATACGTAGAGCACCAGGTCGACCTCCTACCCAATGTCAATGGTCAAGAACTGAAAGGTCGGCGTTAAGACCAAAATGCGACCGATGTGGGGGTTCTAGACATAACGGGCAAATATGTCAGAATTCGACATTTTTAAGTGACACGTGCTTGAATGACATTGTGTATTTCGATCGTCAAATGCCCTGATAACATGAATTATCAATGTTTTGAATTTTTTTTCTTTTGTATTACTTGCTTTCTACCTCTTGTTTTAAATGTTGTTGAATATATTTTTGACTTCTACTTTCTGTTTCTTTCTTCATTCTATCTTGATATCACTTATTTGCAATTGCTTGTTGTAAAATTAAGTTTGTAATACATTTTGAATCCTTTATACAGATTCATCCCATTTTTTGTGATTTTTTTTATAATATTCTAGTCGTTCAAAATTTTATAGCGCACAAACAGAAAAATTCGTATGGACATTCACTAAATATAAACAACACTTCATTTTAGAATGTCATAATGGGTACAAACAAGAGAGGTCAAGTTTGGGGTATAGCTACCAACAAGAAAAATGGTGCTTATATATATTTTTATGAGCATTTCACTACGATATCATTTTGTTCATCATATAAGTGAACAAGCACATATCTATTTCATCACTCGAATTTTCTTAATCATTGTAGACACAATGTGGTAATGGACACAAAAGCAACCCATGAATGGCTCGTTCTCCTAAGTCATTGGAGCAGACAAAATGGTAATCACAACAAAAGGAAGCCATAACTCCAATACATATCGTAGACAACTATTATACAAAATGGTGATCACCCCAAAAAATATCCATCACCTATATGGATTTTATAGCACTACTATATGTACGTAAACATTTTTCTTACAATGACTGCATCTTTTACATATCCTCCACAACGGACAAAGAGGACATATCACTGTCATACTCCTCGTCGGAGCTTATGATGATCACATCTTCATTTTCGACGGGAACTGCTCCAACATTTTCATCCAACAACACATGATGTGCTTTCGGTTGCACCGGTACTGGGATGATCTCACGATGAACTTGAATTGGTTCAATTTTGTCAATTAGATTCGGAAAAAGGATTGGTTGAAGGCAAACCCCATAATGGCAGTTCGAAGGTTGACGAACATATGGAACAAAGATATTGCTTTCATCATCCGAGTCCGAGTCTATGATGATCGAGTTGTGCGCAGACGACCCGGGGGGTCGAAAGTGATAGTAACATCAAGAACAGGAGTATGTTGAGTTGATGAAGACATAATCAATGGAAAAACTAACTAGTGCTATGAATTTGTTAAATTCTCGTATGTACATATTTAAGTAAAGTCCAACATTTTATAGTGGAGAAATACTTGTCCGTTGAATGCACGATAAGATATCTCACCAACCAATGTGGTTGAAGTCATTCATGGTGATTATTTTACAACTTTTTTCACATCAATATGGTTGAGAACGTACTTGTGCTTGGCATATCAACTTTAACTGCTATAGTAATTATAAACCTGCTTGCTACAGTTTTTGCAGTTAATACACCATTTGGTTGCCTTCACTCTTAGTTAAATTTGGTTGGATCATATTTATGTTGACATTTGATACCGTCCTCGACATTTGTAACGTCGTTATCGACATTAAATAGCTGTTAATCTCGACACTTGACATTACGAATGTCTAGAACGACACTTGGACCAAAATACGATATTTCTCTACATTTTTTCGATTTTCGGATGTTTGATATGTCGTTCTCGACATTACATGACTGTGAATCTCGACCCTTGATATTTCATTTCTCTAGAATGACAGTTCGAGAACATATTACATACCACCATATAAATTGAAATATGCAAACCACTGTGTAAACTAAAATACATTTTACGTACCACCACATAAAATCAAAATACATGTTATGTACCACCACATAAAGCAAAATACATATTACAAACGACGGTATCATGAACCGGCTGATTATCAACAGTCACACAAGCAAAGTACAGCTAAACCATGACAACTGTTTCACTATCGGGGATAAATAAAGTATTCGTTATTAAAAAAATCGACTGCAATCTTTCTTCTATATATTGACATCCTTTCTGCTGAAACTGATTCTATTGGATGCTCGAGAACGAAATATTCTATATACTTGAGTACAAACATTATGCAATTTGGCCTGTACAACAAATGATTTTTCGTTAGTCGAAATTAGTATATATAATAGATTAACTACGGTAGTAAATAACAAGAGTTGAAATACTCATCCATTGTTCGCACACGATAGATAAGGTATACCCTCCATCTTCATTGGATTATTTATATGTTTCTTTATATCTCGTCTGGTGGACAGGGGTAGACACTGCAATAATCCTTAAACGACTGTGCATGTTGCTTCTGCGTGAGTCTTGATTGCATCAGGTGTGTGAACATTATTGCTGCAATCGTATATGTAGAATTTCCATTCAGGAATACTGACCAGAAACAGATAACTTTCATTGTCTGGATATGAACTTGGAATTAATAAATACTTGCATCCCATCCACGGACGACCAGCTATAGGCAATGTACCGTTGACGTAGCCTTGTAGGCGAGTTCCATCTGATTCACTTCTCTGGTTATATTCTATGTGCCACCTCATTTGCTGACAACACTCCTCTTCAAATTGAAAATTCAAAATTGCATATTTTTTTATTGATGAGAGTACAATCTTCATTCATACGCTGCCTCAATAACTTCAATTTCAGCTCAATATGCTAATGCAATAAATATATGTAACATATATTAGACATATTAACTACGAAATCAAATTTATTGTGATTGCAAACCTTCACTCACCGCAATATTCAGATCCTTCGTCGGATCTATTAAACTTTTTAGCATGTCTCTTCCATAGACATTGCCACGGCCATCGTCCAAATATGCACTGTATAACATAATTTAAATTACTGTCAAATAATTCAACAAATAATTTTTGACATTGATATAATAATGTTTAGCATTCGGACTATTCAGAATGAGTTACATTTGTTACCCAGATTGATTTCTCGATATCCAATTCCTAATGTTTTTGTACTTGTTCATGTCGTAGTCAAACTTTCTGTTGGTTGAGACGTTGATGTCTCATGCGGTTGAATAGTAGGATTTGGACCTGCATAGAGAAGAACATCCTGCTGCATGAAACCTATAATGGCTTCCATGTTGGATACCCAGTTAGATAGTTTATTTAGCATATTCTCATTCTTTTCGTCAGTGTAAGATCTGACAGAACATAAACTTGTATCAATATAAGACTGTATGTGCTCCTGTTGCTGCTGGAATAATTCTTCTTATTTTCGAAGAATCGCCTGATAATGGGCTTCTTGTTGTTGCAATTCTTGGGCCATATGAGTGCTAAGCATATTGGATAGAGAATTATCCATGTACGACTGCATACCACATAACATGTAATCTTGCATCGATTTGTTATGTTGTTTGAACAGTTGCTTTTGGCTTTCAAGGATATCCTGGTTCAGGGCTCTGGATTTTTCAACAAATTCTGCCTTCAAGTTGCAGTTACATATCTGGAGACACCAGACACAAAACTAGGCCCAACTCCAGTTGAAGTTTTCGATGTACCACGACTGGTCGTGTCTTACACGCGGATGTTATCTGGTATTTGTGGTACTACATTATCTACTTCTTCAGTGACAATGGCATCTAATATATTATGTTCATCGTCAGCCGGCAGTGAAAGATTTGTGTACCAAGGTGTTTGTAATTTTTCCTCCGTAGGCTATAGCATTGCAATGACTTCGATCTGTAATCATAACAAACTATTAGAATCCATTTATTTAATTGAACTTGTTAATAATAAAATGCGAATGTCATTCTACATTGAAAATAAAAAATTCGTACATCTTGAGTATCCAAAAATTGCATAACAACCGATTCCTTCAGTATAATAGGCCTCCAATTATAGATTCGTGGAATCTGCACCGTTCCGTATTTACGGCGACCAAACTTTCGTCCAATTCGTGGAAACGCTTCATATATCCAATACTGCAACGTAAAGAAAGAGAAATGTGATGTATAAATTTTATTCTTTGTACAAAGAAATTATACATAATACATAAGTAATTAGAATAGGAACATAATATCTGAAATGCGAGTGGATAGCCTTGTAATCCATACTTACATTCTGTTTGTCCATTTTGTTGCATCCTTAGTATTCTTTCCAATTGTGACTCTTTCAATAAATTTAACAAAATGAAATATGCTATCTGGCCCCACGGATACGTAAGGAATTCATCCAGATGTTTAACCATGCCCAGAGTTCTATAATCAACTTGTTGTGAAGTCGGTTTCAACACACACTCAACCAACATAACTAATCCCAACTTAAATTTATCTTCTGTATCTTCACACATGTGGAAAGTTTCAAAAAGTATTCTATTGCTAATTTTTTGTGCCATTGAAGTATTGATTTTTAAGACGATCGTTATTATAATCAATTTCTACGGATGGTTCATGACAAGGTAGTCCAGTAATGAGGTAAAATTCTTGCAAGCCAAACCCAGTAAGATGGTCATCTAACTGTACCCAAAGTTCATTGTTTTTGCCACAATGCACAAGTCTCATTATAAATTCGTGTACCAACTTGTGAGTAAATTGTTCTTCGTCTCCTTTGAAAACAGCTCCATACATAAATCCATAAAAATTACTACACATCAAATAACATTGTTGATTTGCATCTACGAAATTTACAAAACCTTGAACGTATTGACGATTTGGATACTGTAGGATGGTAGCAGAAAACCATTTTTCTAGAGAGAGAACGTATTCTAAAGACATCTGTATCA